TCTGATGATTGCCGAAGATGCGAAAATGTACAAGGATGAATTTATCGTTTGTACCACCCCTACATATCACATGTGTCATGATATCAGTTTATTCGCTGATATTAAAACTATTTTCCCGAAACCAATTGTTTCTATGATGGGACCAAATATCTATGCTATTGGTCAGGGTGCTGTCAAATTTGGAAACGTGATCCTGCATGACGTTCTATAAATTCCATTTTTACTTGCTAATTATTTTTTTTGGCACTAACAGAATGTTAGAAAATTTCCATTATAGTTGTACAAATGAACCTACGAGGACAAGATTCTTCGGTAGTAATATCAAACCCAACCCGTTGTGTAAGAAGTTAGGTGACTATATCGTCTTGGACAAGACTCGTCACATTGAAATTTACACAAAGATTTATTGTACAAAGATTTATTACACATATTGACAAATTTACCAACTAATTATATAGTCTATACACTGAATAAAAACGTATTGTGATAGAACTTCTTGATGAATCCTAATTCTCCATAGAGCAATAGCATAAGCATATTAAGGGCAAAGAAATAATAAATGATACGACGAAAGTCAGTAATCAAAGATAATAAGATAGGCTTATCCGACTTGATCTGAGATGAAGGGATTCTTATATGAACAAGAAAACAACGTAATACCAAACATATATAAAGAGCATGAATGATGGAAGTAAAAAACATCTATGTCCTAATTCATATGTATATTATATTTCGGGTTTGAAAGAGAACCACGAAGAATAAACTGTAAAATATTACAATATAACTTTTATTAAAATATAAGATTGATAAAATGGATTACGCTCTACAAGATAACATAAGCAGTAATGCAAACGCTTATCAATTTTCATTTGTGGTACTACAAAAAAAAGATAGTTCCCTGAAATTGAAAATTAACAGCTTGATAATTATTATATTTCGTTTCTTGTAGTTGCCACTAATTTGATCATAATAGTAATTAACTCCGTTATCAACGCAGGTGATAATTGTTTGTTATACCATTAAATTTACATAACTAGAGGAAAAAGTAAAAATATTATAAATATAAAAGGTAAATTTTGTCAGGTTTTGTTCATGGTTCGTAATTTCAATACTTTTGAGGAGCTGTATAATGTCTCATTTGAATTATTGTCGCCCTTTGGTCCTTTGAGGGCATGGAACTAATTAGCCACTCGCTAAATTAATAACAAAAATAAAAAAAAAAGAATGATATTAAATTTACATCTTGAGCTGCAGCAATGTTTGGGGATTCTTTGAAAATAGCAGATGAAGTTGAATCTAATCTGCTAGTACCACTAGACTCCTTGCTGCTATATAAGTTTTCATTACCCGGGTGTGTCTCCTTTGGAGTTCCAGATAAACTCGAATATCCTTCTTCTGGTACTCTTGCAATTACTTTGCTGCCGCTATTTGTTTCTTCTACTTTCTCAGAACAAAATGTTTGACAACATGAAAGTTCAGTTGTGGCTGATGAGGTTACAGTATTGTAAATATTCGATAGATCCTGTGCATCATCTTTTTCATGGTCGATATTTTCTGTCCGGATTAAAGTTGAAGAAACTACGCTTTCATTTTCGTCAATATCGCAATTATTATGAATCTTCTCCATTTCAGTAATTCTGGTCGTTAAAATTATGGAAATAGTTTCCGCTGAATCAACTGTAATAGTTTTAGTGCGAGTATTATTACAATCTGTTTCTGATTTTGAAAAGGAACGATCTTCAGATGAGCTAGCATTAGAAGAAACAATATATGATGGAGTTATTGTTTCGAGCAAACTTGATTCTGTATATTCAGTGGTTGTCACTACCTCTGATGAATCTAAAAATTTGGATGAAGAAACTTGAGAATATGTGGATGATGATTTCGAAATTGATAAAGAAGAATAACCTGAAGATAACATGGAAGTGGGCGTAATATCTGTAGAAATGTCCGATGAAGGTTGAATACTGGAAGACGATGTCAATAGAGAACTCGACTTAATATATGAAGAACTTTCTGATGGTGATGTAGGTTTTAAATCTGGTATGTTAACTAAGTAGAGGGTATCATAAACAGTTCCACTAGTAAAATCAAAGTATGTAGCTGTAGAAGTGTAGTATGTTTGGGTATATGTTCCGGTCCATATTTTTGAAGAGGTTGTCTTTAAATGCCAATCGTCACAGTCACTTCTTTCTGTTTTGTACAAAAAATCATCTAATGAAGCATAGTTGACTCCATCTGGATCATTCATATTGAGGTTTAAAACAGCATCACTATATCTATTTGCATAACTTAGATACAAACTGTATGTGAATCCTTCAATTAGGTACGTTGATCCACCGTTAGGGTATTCAGCGGGAGTATCTGGACTATAGAACAATAAAAATATGTCAGATTCTAGCTCTACATCAGTATCGATTCACAAATAGAAATCTATTTGTGAATCGATACTTAATGCAGCTGCAGAACCGTTACTGGTATCTATATTGAAAGTATAATAACCTGATTTAGGGGGGAATAAAAATGGAGTTAACCACAAATGTGAAGTTCGATATTGTAGTAGGATACCCAAAAATTTCACCTTGAACGATAGTATTTTCATCTTCTTCATTAAGAAATGAAAAGTTTGAGCCTTCTGCCCATTCAGTGGAATAAAGGTAATCATAACAATCAATATAAAAGTCTTTTAAACCAGGATACATTTGACTACCGTGTGGTTGACCTCCTAATTTATAGGATCCTATAGTGACACTAACCCCCTTTTCTAAAGGTTCTGGATAATACCACAGTTTACAAGATGGCAATGAAGAATTTTGCGAGGTAACAAATAAAAGATTAATAATCAATAATATACATGAAATAAGTATTGAAATATCCGTAGTATTGAGAGTGTGGTGTTTGTTTTTAATGATCTCACCTAAATAATGCATTAAATTAAAATTAGTATAAAGAATCAAGAAAAAAAGATTAATGTAAGAATGCTTAAATAATTTTAAGATCAATAAATGTAGTTTATAGAAATATATATATATATATATATATTCAATAATCTTTAATTTGATTGGGATTCTCAAAACCATGTTGAAATCCAATCTAAAGCCTTTTTAACTATATCTGTTGAGGAGTATATTGGGGTTGAGGCAAACAGTATGCAAAGGATTTACCAAATAAAGGTCACCGGTTCATATAGAGTCAAATCACGTCATCTTTGTTATACTTGGAGTACGTTTTAAATATACTGTCGTTCCTCTGAAATTGCAGTAATGACGATCCTGAATATATTGAAATTTTAATATTATCTCCTCTTGTAATCAGCTAAAATAATGGTCTGAGATTTGCTAAGTGGCGATAAATCCTACATTTCTGGGTGAATGAACTGATACAAAAAGCAATAGACCCTTAAAAATGAGGATGTGTAATGCCTAATCCTAGCAACTCTAAATCTCGATTGGGTTTCTCAAGATCCTTGTGGGAATTCTTATCCGTCGGAGCCGAAAAAAGAAAATGAGTCCACTTTTCGGAAACTGTAAGACTAATGTGTTCTGGAGTGGGTTCTTTTCTTTTCCTTTTTGGTAATTCACATACTAAACCTAAAGAAAAGACTGCACAGACTCATATTTAATATTTTATTACCTTGAAAAGAAAAGGTTACAACCTGCTATGTGCCTATCACCTCAGGAATATAACCATGGTGAACAGTACTCTTCTAAAGAAGATGTTTGACCGGCAATTCTGGTAAGTGTTTCTATCAAATTTCCCCTACGTGCAGCAGCAACAATATGACTATTGGTTGGTTTCAAGAATATACTTCTAATAATAATTAGTTCAGTATTCTGGAAAGACCAAAAAGGTAAATATTATCATATTTTCCACTATTGCTGTTGCTTTTGTTATTGGTTTTGAACCCTAAAAGAACGTAGTGTATACCATATTGCTTTTTGTTTTTTGTATTATTAAGCATCATCCACTGAGGAGAAATCATATCAGCTTCTAACATTAGCGGCTAGCCCACTTGTGCCAGAAATATTACTCGACAATTGAAACGAATATTATAAGAATGGGAAGGAAAACTTATATAGTGCAAGATGTATTTTGATATATCTGTATAATGAAAAGCCTATCTTATAGTCATATGTAAGACACATAATGCTCATTAAAAGTTGCTATTATTTCAAATCTTATTTTCTTGTGTTACAAAATAATAATCGCTATCTCATCTACTATATAAAAGGGTTTTTAAAGGGAATAACCTAAGGTACATTTGAGGTACATCATATTACCCTTAACTTTTCGTTAGTGTACGAAAATCTAAAAACATTACCCATACAGTAGTACGGACTCTATCTCGTGTATTTTAAAACACCCTATATTGAAATGAGAATAGTAAAATTCTTTTTACGAGTTGTTTTCATATCGTCTTGTAGTATGTATATGTTTTACTTATTAAATATAAATTAAAACCACTTACCCAGAACTATTTAAATGAATTCTAAAGGGAGGGGTGATCGGTTAATTGTTCACTTTTTAAGAAGGTGAATATTTTATGAAAAACTTGAATTTAGAAAGGACAGAGAATATCTATTTTTTAACAATGGCTATCATCTGTTATGATAGTGCATCCTATTCTATAATCTTTATTTCCTATGGTTGGAATATCTATTCTTATATATGGACCAAATTGATCGCAGGATGTTCCAGACTTATCAGAAGTACAGTCCTGTACCTGATAATCAGCCCAGCCAATATGTTGTTGATACCAAATTTGCCCTCTTCCTCCTGGTGGTATTTTGCATGTATATAACCCATTCCTGGAAATTGTATGACTTACACTTGAGGGAAACAGGGCTTTTATGGCACCCCAATTAACTGATATATCTTGATTGCATGTCCCTGTATATGTATAATTCCAGGCAATTGAAACTTGTTTTTCATGCGTTGAAACATCACTTTTATCTGTACAATTAGTTAATAGATACCAAGTAGACCACCAATATCCATGGTTTTTTAGCTTCCATTGTCTCCATGAATACTTAACTGTATCCAGATTGCTTTTCCAAAATCTTTTTGTTTGACCCATTTTCTCAGTGATATCAACATTCGTGATATCTGAATACGCAATTTTGTTATTACTATTAATAAGTATAGTGTCTGTATTAGAATATTTCTCTAATAGTGAAGGTAAATCGTCACTCCTTTCAAATTTCACGATATTATACTCTACACTTATATGATTGCTTACCTCATTTTTACCAGCTACGAATACATTCATCATATTGTCAACCCCAGGTGAATCAACATTTAACGCTACCGATATAGTGTTGAAAAATAGAAACGTCACTATTAGTAGCTTTGTTAAACCATTTAATTTAGAAATACTTGCTGAACTACACCACAGAAATTTCATTTTCCTCTCGAATTCTTCTTGTATACTGAGTAGAGGGGCTGGTTATTTCCAGTTCTTTAAGTTACAAGTATAAAGATGCAACATAAGACTACATGTCCTTTTTACCATTGAAGTCATGATCTATCGAATAATGATAATCTTACAATATCTAAACAATAATGAGTGTTGTTAGTATTGTTGTATCGACGATGCAACCATCACTCACACTCCTTGTACTAAAATCGTGAAACCCCCTCAGGGATATCTGTACCTTTTTCCATTTTACCTTTTTGAGATACATATTTTTCCGCGTCATCGAAAAGCATTATCTAATAATGCTTCTATAATTATCATCATAGTTCGTACAATCACCCCAAACATAATGGCTTCTCATCCTGTTAAACAACAGATTATTCTTATCTTTATACTAGATAAACTATCTGCGTTCTTATTTTATTTGTTGCAGTTACTAGTGCTACCTCCAATAATTGAAACCATTTATTATGAAACATGTTCGTTTAAATTAGAGTACATTATACCATATATTGGTAAAAACTGCCTAAATGTTATCAATATAGCTTAATTTTATAAGACAAGAATTATTAAGATAATAAGATAGACAAATATGTTAACTAAAGGTTTGCTTTGGTTTGCGTTGTATTTTTACATGAGGGTTTCATGGAATGTTGTTGAGCACCTTCGCCGCCAGCATGAATGTCAGTGATAGAAAATAACGCTTGATAGATATCATATCTCCTAAAATATCAGATAGTTTTCCACAATAAACATTTGCATCATTAGAATTATTATCTTGGTGGTTTGTATTGTTTAAGCTATTTATAAAATTACAAATGGTAATATTGGAGTTATTCTTCGTGATTTCTTTTAAATCTGAGTAAAGAATAGTATAAAAATAATACCGAAAATAAAAATTTAGCAATTAAGCAATTAGTGCTCCTAATATGTGTTTGGCATTCATTTGATTTCTTACTCATTTAATATTTCCCACATCTGAGACCACATCATAAGAGCTCATTTTATTTTCATTGCCTGTTGGTATCTCGTTGTACTGTTCGTAGTTTTCTTGATTCTTTAAAAATTTATATCATTAGTCTACATAAAATATGAATTCAGCACCACCTTTACTTATTTTAGTATTGCATATTTTAAAGAAGAAATTTTTTGACATAATCAAATGATTTCAAATTGTTGGAAATAGCCAGTGTATTACGCAGTAAACATTTGTATCGTACAATGTGATGTTTTGGTGCATACAATCTGTAGATAAAGCTAGGACTTTCGTGAATTGTATAAGTTCCATCTCTTTACATAAATTATTCTCTCCTCTTGAAGAAGGAGAGGAGCTCTACTGCATGCCATGGATGCATAGTCCTGGTACTCAGTAAACATATACCAATTAGTAAGATTATTCCCATATATAATAGTTCTCCAATATACAATTGATAGTGATAGAAATCCTCGTTTCTATCTTGTTGAGCATTGATTGGATTTTAATTTTCATTCATTTTTATTTTACAGATATTATACAGATAATTCTTCTTACTTTCTTTCGGAAAGAATTATTTAATATACAGATTATGTATTTCAAACCTCTGTCTTTATATATTACGAATTTAGTGGCGTAGTTGTTAACCTTCACATTTATGAACTTCTTATTCTAGTATCGTCGTATAAGCCTACTCAATTATATTAATTGCACAAAATATCCTATGTGTTATTTAACGTATGTTAATATTAGTGTTTCTCATCATTAATTATTATGCTCACGCGAATATCTTCTACTATATACTCTTAGAATATTTAGCTCAGTAATATTTTCTCTTAATCTCTCAACTTAACAAATTTATTAAGAAATGTTAAATTTGATTTAAAAAAAGGAAAAAGTTGAATATATTAAACGTATGAAAATAAATAAAAAATACATAAAAGTAAAAAAAGTAGAATAAAAGTGAAGGTTTCTTATTAGAATAGCAATCAAAATCCAGAAAAAAAAATAACCTTTTAGATGTATTGGCCTAAATCATAAAGTTTAGTAATAATAAAAAGGTTGTAAAAGTGTAATTAATGTTGAATGTCGAACCACTCCCATGGTATGTAGACAAGGTTGAATTTTCTTCTGAAGTACTTTGCGAGTAACTACTACCATGTAATATTGTTCTTGAATTTGTCTCAGAACTCAAAATTGTTGGAGTAGTGGAGGCTCTTTCCGACTTTGTAATAATAGGTGAGCTTCCCTTGATAGAATTGGTTGGGACACTGATCGTACCTTTCTTGTCACTTGTAGAAATATCAAGTGATAATGAACTAGTTAGATCATTACGTTCACTAGGATAAATATCTGATGGCATTAACGACGAAATTGTAGATGCATTCCTAGATATATCATCATAGGAATGCTTTCCGTCATTCTGGGCTGGTTTTAATTCAGTACGAGAACTGCTGCAATGTGCGGTATTCGATTCAGAACTTTCACTCGGGTTCCTAGTCCTGGACAATGTAATATGATGCATAGTAGATAATCTAGTATTTCCTGAAATTATCATTGAAGTTGTGAATTGTTTACTAACTGTGCTTGGCAATAATAATGTGGATTGCTCAGATTTGGTGGTTAGAATCGATCCCGGTAAAATTGGAGTGGATTTTAAAATATATTCATCACCTGACATAGCATCTGATGAACGGAGCAATATTACATTACTTGATATAGCAATTTCTTGTGAGACCAGAGACGTCATCATGAATTCTTCTGTCGAGGATATAGTAACAACACTTGATGCGGTTTTTTTTGAGAATGTGATGGGTTCGAATTCTGAGACCGTAAATAAGGTTGAAATTTGGTCAGTAGAATGAGGACTGTCTTGAACCCTATTTAATGGCAGAGATTTGTTAGTTATATCTGATAATGACGTTTTTTGAATAGGACCTGAGGTGGAAGATTTTTTACTTTTCACAATGCTAGATGGTGTGTATTCCTTAATCGACGTAGTTGATAAGACAGGCGTCGAAGTCATGGAACTAACATAATTGATGATTGTAGATGCTATGAATGATGAACTTGCTTCGGAATTAGCGAGGCTTGTAGATAGAGAAACATATGGCGAGGAAAATGTTGAAACCGTAGCTAAACTACTGTTGCTATAATAGATGGTCTGTTTGTAAGGAGACATTGTATTAGATGAACCATCACTTACATGATAGCGCGACACGTCTCCAAGTGAAGTCAGATTAAAACCACTAGTCGAGGATGTATATACTAAATGGTTACTACTTGCAATTTGGTCACCTTTTGAGCTCTCAATTATAACTGGTTCATTATACGTGTTTGATTGTAACGCGGTCTTATTTGATTTAGTCATCTCAGAACTTCCTCCACGATTCATAGAGGAATATACATCGCTGTAACTAATTGTTACTAAGGATAGGCTGGGTAGATCGTGAGTTGTAGAACTATCATAATTCGCGGACGGGATGGCACTAGTCACGATAGTAACACTAATTGTTGTCACTTTTCTAGCAGATATTGGTGTTTCGATGGTGGGTAGACTGCCAATCCCAGAAGTCTCGCTTAACTTTTCAACAGAGGAGGGACTGTGTAGAACAGTATCTTGGGAGGTCCACAACATAGAGTCTCCAGACTTCCATTCACCGCCCGAAGAAAGTCCATTTGTTATCCAATCAGATATGGCATCGGATGAAACGATTGATGGTGATCCAAACATATTACTAATATCAAATGACATATCATACGCATCACTATCAATGGCAAAGGTAGCCATTGCACCAGAGCTGTACTTTAACTGCCCCAGGTCGTACGAAACGGCTCCAGAATCGGTAACAGTGTTAGAATTGGAGGCATACGACCCAGACATCATATCTGATGGACTTAGGGTCACAACCGACCTGCTACCGCCATTCATCGAATTAGATCCAG